CGGGCAGCAGCTGCGCTCGCAACGCCAGAAGGAGCTGAGCGCGGCCGGATCCGCCCCGCGTCGCGCCGCGCCCCGCTTCTCGCTGCGCCTCAGCAACCTCTTCCGAAGGACCTGAGGGCCGGGCCGAAGGGGCCGCCCATGCCCTCTCAGGCTCACTTTCCTCTTCCGGCCAGTGGAGCGACAGGGCCCCGACTGTCTTCCAAAGGGGGCTAGTGCCCTCCCCGCCCCAGGAGGCTGGGCAGGGGCTCACTGGGAGCAGGGGCCAGCTTTGGGGACCAGGCGCCCCAGGTGGTGGCGGGAGCAGGTGGGGCCAGCTTTGGGGACCAGGCGCCCCAGGTGGTGGCGGGAGCAGGTGGGGCAGAGCTGTCTATTTTTCTAATCTACATAGGTCTATCTTTTCTAAGCACTAGGCCCCCTGGCCCTGGCATGCTCTACGACAGGGATGGGGGTGGGTATTTATGTATCAAGATCAGACAGAGTAATATATAAATCATTACACCGACTTGGCCTCCATTCTTGGGAAGAAAGCACATGGAACGAAAGCCTGAAATTTTATTTGTAAAAAAAGAAATAAAAACACTCCAAATCCCTGGAATGGGAGACTGCCGAGGGAGATCAGAAGGACAGGGAGAAGGCGCGGTAGCCCAGATTGGTGAAGACATCCACCCGGCAGCTGTTGCCAGCAGCTGTCAGGACCTGGAGGCAAGGTGGGGCTGACTGACCTGCCCACACTGCCCTGGCCTCCCAGGCTCCCCATAGCCCCTTGCAGGACCTACCTTGCACTCAGGGGCTGCTGGCTGCTGGTTGAGGCTGAGGCTGAGTAGCCCTGGGGAGGAGCCAGGCACCTGGGCCTTGAGCTCCCCGCTCAGTTGCCACTGGTTGACGCAGCGGCCCTGGCCAGCTGACAGAATCTGTGGGGGGCAGGGAGGGGGATCAGGGTTCAGGGATGGAGAGGAGAGCCAGACAGGGGTGACATAAGCAAGACAGAGGGCCTCACCAGGTCCTGGTAGAAGGTGACGTGCTTCTGTGGAGCCCGCATAGGGAAGATGGTGGTGGGTGTGGAGGATCGGAGGTGCCAGAGAGTAAGTGCTGGGCCCCCTCCACAGACCTGGACAGAAAGGTGGGGGTCCCCAGCCACTGTGAGCCACAGGCCCTCAGCTGGCAGGGCCCAGAGCTGCCTCCCCATCCTGCCCTCTGCCCGGCTCACCATCCAGTCTGAGTCAGTTGCCAAACATCCGATCCAGCGCCCATTGTGGGGCCTCGAGCACTCCTGGGAGGGAGCAGGGGAAGAAAGGAGGAGGTGAAGACGCAGGGGATGCCCAGGGAGAAGGAAGGGAGGACGCGTGCAGTGTGCCCTCACCTCGTGCTTATAGACCTCGATCGTCTGGACCTCCTTGGCCGTGCGAAGGTCTGTGAGGGAAGAACCATGAGAGGCATCCTACTTGCCCCAGTCTCCCTCACCACCGTCTTTCCCTCCAACCAGACGTTCCCTTACCCCAAAGTCGCACAGCTCCATCCTCGCCCCCTGACAGCACCTCGGGGCTCCGCTCCCGCAGTGCCAGGCAGTGGATGTAGTCCGTGTGGCCCCGGAGGGCCCGCTACAGGGAGAGGGCCAGTGTCAGGACAAGATCTGGGAAGAAGGCCCGGTGCTGCCCTGACCACCCCAGCTCCGTGGCCATCTCACCGTGAAGGCCCCCGTCTCAAGGTCCATCGTATGCAATTGACAGTCTCCCCCGGCCAGGATGAGGGAATTCTCCTGCAGAGGAAGGCGAGGTGGGGTCGGAAGTCAATGTCAAATCAGGACAGGGAGAGGGGAAGGATCAAAGATTGGGCCAAGAAGAGGGCAGGGCAGAGCCCCAGTCACAAAGGGCTCAAACCTTGGGGACAAGAAGCAAAGCATTGATCTCAGGCACTTCCAGGCTGGTCCTGGGGGAGGGAAAGTGGCGTCAGCTCTGCTGAAGGGTACCTTCACCCCGACATGCCCCTGCCCACATGGCCCTGGCTCACCTGTATGGGGGCTGACGACGCCACAGCTCCTTACAGCCCTTGGTGGAGGAAACACTGGGTGACTTCAAAGGTTCTCTCTCTCTGGGGCTGGGCGCCCCAGCACTTCCCCCAGCCCCACGCTCCTTACCTTCTTGAGGATCTCCACCCAAAGCCAGGACTTCACCTCCCCATCCCCAGCACTGAGCAGCTGCCGATCAGTGGAGACCATGCTGTAGACGGGCCCATCATGGGCTAAATGGAAAGGCAGACCCTGAGTGACCCTGTCCTGCTCCCCTCCTCCACGCTGGGGTCCCCGAAGCCAGACTCAATGGCTGCACCCACCTTGGAAGGTCACCACGGGTTTCTTACTTTCCTCTTTGGCCTCGGAGCTCAAAGCAGCAGACAAGCTGAAGGGAGAGCGGAGAGGGTCAGAAGCAGGGGGCATCAGTACAGGAGGGCCAGGTGCCAGAGCTAATGGGTGGTGGGGAGCAGGGCCAAGGGTACCTGAAGATGGCTATCTGCCCGTAATTATTGCCGGCGGCAAGGAACTTCCCACAGGGCGACACACTCTGGGAGAAAATGGTCATGTGCAGCCGCTGCAGGGCCTGAAACACTTCCACCTGTAGGGAGAGGCTGGATGAAGACCATCTGGGACCTCCAATCCACAGACTCCTTCCTGCTTCCCCTGCCGCCAGTCCAGCTTCCCACTGCCCAGACTTCTCAGCCCTCCGTTGAGGCGGCCCACCAAGTGGGCACCTGCCCTCACAGTCCCAGGGGTGGCTCCAAGAAGAGGGCGAGGCGAGTAGAGTTGAGGCGTGATGCCTATAGGACCTTGAGCAAGCACCCAGCCTCTCGTCCAAATTTCCTCAACTGTCAAATGGACCTCACAGGACATTTTGTCAGATTGGATGAGGTACTGTACACAAAGAGTTTCACACAGGGGTGCCTCGTAGAAAGCGCTTAAAAAGTGGCTCTACTACCCCAATACAGAAAAACATGCTTATAATCCCTATCCTCCGACTTTCATGTTAGTCCTTTTAAGGATGTCTGGGTGAGTCTCCCACCCCCGAGTCAGAGTCCGAGTCCCAGCCCAGAGCCCACGCAAAACAGGACTCAGGGCACGACTCCTCGCCCGCCCCTTCCGAGCCGGGCATGGACTACAAAGCCCAGAAGACACTGCGCAACCACGCCCGCCTCACCTGACCGAGAGGCACCGCCTGCGGCACAGCTCGCTCCATCTCGAGAACTACAAGTCCCAGAGTGCTCCGCGCGCGACGCAACCTCACGAGTCCGGACGTGCCCGCGATCCGCTCCGCTTCGCGGCACCCCACCTCTCCGAGACCGCTGGCAGGCCCGGCGCGAAGGCGGCCGCCGCGTACTAACCCGAGACCCAGGAACTGAGGTGACCGCCGCGAAGATCCTCGACACTAAGTAGCGCCCACCGCAGCCCCGCTGAGCCGGATCCCCTCCCCCACCCTGCTGAGCAGATCCGCCTTCCAGCCACGCGCCGCCCGTCTTCCGCGCCTGCGCGGAACCTCCCCGCTGCGCGCGCCTACGGCCGCGCCCCTCGCGTTGGGCCACGCCCTTAGAGGCTCCGCCCCTGTCGCCTGGATCCCACCCCTGCCCTCGGGACCCCGAACCCCAATGATCCTGCAGCAGCCCCTGGAGCGAGGCCCCCTGGGTCGGGCCCAGCGCGATCCGCGGGCTGCCTCGGGGTCGCCCCGAGGCGTGGACACGAGGTGTGTGTGGAGGGGCCCTGGCTGGGCCTGGCCCAGGAGTGCAAGAGCTTTGGCTGGGGGCTCAGGGGAGGTCTGCAAGGTGACACGCGATGGGGCGAGTCGGCAGGGCTTGCACATGAGCTAAGACAGGGTTGGAGGCTCGAGACTGAGACTTCCGCGGCAGGCTGCTGGATGGCCAGGGAGAGAGGGGTGACTTAGGTGTCAGCTAAGACAGGGATGTGCTGGAGGCTCCTGGCTGACCCTGCAGGCTCAGGCAGGCAGATCCTCGGGATGGGGCCAAGAGGGTGGGGTGCACCTGGTTCTCTTTTCTTCCCAGCTCCCCTCTCCGAGGAGCCGTGCCCATGAGCACCAAGCGGCGCCTGGAGGAGGAGCAGTGAGTTTGGGGGCAGGGAGGGACTCCCAACAAGACCTCAGGTCCCCATCAGACTGCCTCCGCTCTGAATATCCCACCCTGCTTGCCTCCCTGTCTCTCTCTAGGGAACCCCTGCGCAAGCAGTTCCTGTCCGAGGAGAACATGGCCACCCACTTCTCTCAACTCAGCCTGCACAATGACCACCCTTATTGCAGCCCCCCCATGGCTTTCCTCCCAGCTCTGCCCCCACTCAGGTAGGCACTATCCACCATCCAAGGGCTGGGTCTTCTGGAGGATCATACCCGCTCCTGGGAGCTAACCTCCAGGCCCTGCCTCATCCTGCTATTTTTAGCTTCTAACCAACTTCTGTTTCCCATCTTGGCTTCTTGGAAGGTGCCTACAGCAGGAGCCCCTGGTGGGGGATGGCTCTGCCAGGCCAGCCTCAGCCCTGTGCCCTGACTGTCCATTCCTCTTCCAGGAGCCCTTGCTCTGAGCTGCTTCTCTGGCGCTACCCTGGGAACCTGATCCCTGAGGCCCTCCGGCTGCTGAGGCTGGGGGACACCCCCACCTCCCACTACCCTGCAACCCCAGCTGGGGACATAATGGAGCTCTGAGTGCTGGTGGGCACTGCCCCTGCCCACCTTCCTTCTTCCCCACCACAGGGAGACCAGCACCCCAAGGAAGGGACCAGCTGCTCTGCTTTTCCTCCATGACCTTCCCCTAACAGAGGAGGACACTGTGCCCACAAAGCCTGGGGTGGGAGGGGCAGGAACATGGGAAGGGAGGCATCCCCCCCCCACCCCACCCACAGGAGAACTGAATAAAGATTGCTGAGCAAATAAAGGCTTCAGTCTGGAACCTGGGGCCTTTGGGAAGAGGGGGAGGGCTGGCGCTGGATGCTGGGATTTCTCCTCAAGATCTTCCCTGGAATACGGTCAGGGCCCAGGCCAGGTCCTGGCAGGCTGGGCTCAGGCATTGAGAATGTGTGAGTCAGAGCCTCACCCCCGCCCCCGCGGCTGACTCACTGCTCCCGCCAGCTCTGGGAAGTCGGGCTGGGGATCAGGACACTCTCCGAACCATTTAAAGTTAAAGATTCTTTTATTAATAAATTCTCCCTCCCCTCCAAACTTTCTCCCCAAAATAAATATCCCCCCCCTTTGGGGATTTGGGGGCAGTGTCTTAGGGCCAGCCCCCCCTAGAGGGCCAGCCCCCTAGTGTTAGGAACAGGTCCCTAACCCCCCAGGGTGAGACCCCGTGGTGGAATTTCAGTACATCTGAGTGGGTGGGGCCTGGTGTTGTGTCTGTCCCTCAGGTCAGCCTGGCCCCCAGGCCATGGCGGGGAGAGGGACCCCCTTGTGCAAATGCTGCGGTTCCTTAGTGTCAGCTGTCTGGTGTGAGCCAGCGTGGGTCTCCTTTTCTGTTCTGGAGCCAGAGACAGGGCAGTCAGACACCTTGGAAGTCTCCTCGGAAGCCTGGGCCCAGACCTCAGAGCAGTGATTCACCCGAACCCCATCCTTCCACACCCCTGCGGTTGGAACAGCCTGGCTGGCTCTGGCTGTGTGTCTGGGAGGTAGGGGCTGGCTCCAGAATGAATGAATGAATGAATGAATGATGAGTAGGTGGGGCCTCCTGCTGGCAAGGGGCGCTCACTGTCACTGGATCAGCGCCACGCCAGGACAGCCCTCTCCGCCGGTCTCCTCGATGGGGGCTGCAAGACAAGCAGAAGGGTGGTCAAGAGCAGAGGAGAGGCTGGGGAGTTATGGGGGCGGCGGGCGGGCCGGGCACACTCACTGGTAAACTTCTCTCTCCTGCGGCACCGTCTCCAGACCAAGAAGCCGGAAAGCAGGCCCAGCACGAGGGCCAGGCTCAGAGCGCCCCCCAAGATGGGCCACAGCAGCCGGAAGGAGGCCGGAGGGGCCGCAGCGCCTGGGGGCGGGACTCGAAGTCAGACCTTACCCCTCTCCGGCCCAGCCCCGCCCCCTAGACCTGAGCCTGAAGCCTTTCCCCCACCGTGGCCCCCACCCTGATCCGAATCCCTTCCCTACTCCCGCCTCCCGCCTCCTCGCCCCCGCCATTAATTTCCCAGATCGGAAGCTCACTGCTTCCCTCTCCACCCCAGCACCCCCCCCCCCAAGTCAGGGGTCCGCTCGCCTCTGGCCCCGCCCCCCACTCACAGCCCAGGCAGAAGTCGCTGTGCGGTCGCGCCGGGCAAGACGCGCAGTCCATGCACTTGTCGAGGTCCGCGCTCCAGGAGCTGCCGCGAGAGCAGGGGGTGGTGCCTGGGGAGGGGGCCGCGGGTCAGAGGCTGGGGGCGGGGCGCGGCTATTCTGGGGGCTGAGGTCAGGGTCGGCCGGCTCGAATAACGTGAGTCACCGGCGCCCTCCCCCCGCATTCCTCACAGGTGACCGCACGCCTCGACCGGGACACGGCGGCGCGGAGGGAGGGGGCGTAGCGCGGGACGCGGGGGGGTGGAGGGGGATCAGGTCCCCACAACCCCCCCTGCCGCCGGCGGGTGACTCACTCCCGGGCACCGGGCCCGACCCCGGTCCCCTCCCCCCGCATAGCTGGGCACTGAAGTCACCGGATGGAAGGGGGCACCCCACATGGTATAGGGGGCACAGACCCCCGAGGCTCTCGACACCCCTCCCGACTCTTAGGTCACTGGAGCTGGGTAGACCCGGTGTTGACCTGGCTGGGGGCGTGCCCCCTCACCGGAGGAAACATCCCGCCCTAAACTTTTTCTCCACTTCCGAGTCCGGACTTTCAGGACAGAAGCCCCCCGAGTTAGAGAGGCGGGAAAACAGGCCTGAATCGTGGATGAAGCTCGAAGCGGGATGGGACTTCCCCTGGCCAGGGAGCGCAGTGTCTGGAGACCACCTGACCCTCGATCCCCACGTCCGCCCAGTCACCCCAGTGCTGCCCCCTCCTCTAGGTCCCCAATGGCGACCTCCCTATCCCGAGCTGGGGGTTCCGGCCCCCACGCCCTCCCGCCCGGCCCCCGCCCCCGCCAGGCGTACCTGGCACCGGCTCCCCGGCGGCGGCGCGCAGCAGCGCCAGCCCGAGTCCCAGCACGAGGAGCCGCAGCCGCGGGCGCAGCGGGCCAGGAGCCATGGTGCGCGTCCGGCGGCCGCTGCCGACTGTGCCCGCCGCCTGCCGGCCCTCGCGGACAGCGGCGGCGGCCCCGCCCCCGCCCCCGCCTTCCGGGGCGGATCCCTCGCCTCGGCCCGGCCCGCGATCCACTCCGGGACGTCCCGCCCCGCCCGGCCCGCTAAGTTCAGCCGTTCGCTCAACAAACACGGTCTTCGCGCGCGAACGGCCGGGCCCCTGCAGGAACTCAGACCCGCCTGGCCCTGCCCTCTCGGAGCTCAGGTCCGGGAGGTGTGTGTTAGGGGCAGGGGGAATCCGACACGAAACAACCCATGGCAGAGATAATTGCAGCTTTCTTAAGGACCCCAGGGGCATTAATAATAACAGAACAAGAATAATATGTCCTTAATTTTTTTTATTGAGGTAACATTAGTTTATAACATTATATAACTTTCAGGTGTACATCATTATATTTCGATTCCTGTGTAGACTACATCATGTTCACCACCCAAAGACTAATTACATCGTCACCGTACACATGTGCCCCGTCACCCCTTTCGCCCTCCTCCCTCCCCGCTTCCCCTCTGGTAACCACCAATCTGTTCTCTGTATTTATGTGTTTGTTGTTGTTAATAATGCGTCCTTTAATATCTACCTTAGGACATAGTTAGTAAAATCTGGGCTCGTTGTCTCCATTTTGCAGAGTATGAAATCGAGGCTCGGGAAGGCTGGGTGAGTTCCCGAGGTCACAGTGCTATTAAGTGGCGGAGTCGTAACCTAAGCTCCGTTCGGGTCTCACCCACTGCGGGCCCCGACGTCAGCCCGCACCCGGGCCAGATGCGGGCCCAGTGGCCCCGGGCTCGAGCGGCCCCCACTGACGCGGTTGGGATTCGCGCGCCGGCTGCAGGCTGGACTGGGGTATCTGCCCCTCCCCCGGGCGGTGGTCCGGTGACGTCACAGCCTCTTTAAGACCCCCGCCTCCGCCCCCATCCCCACACTCGGCGGGCTCCTACGAATCTCTGTGGACTTCTTCGCAGGTGAGCCTGGGGGAGGGGTGCGTGTTGGGGGGGAGGTAGACGGCCGGAGGAGCGGGGTGCTGGGGGCGTGGCGGCGTGGGTGGGGTGAGTGTGATCTGGCGGCGGCCCCCGGGTCGGCGAGCCCCCGGGCGGGGGGCTGCACCAAAGCCGCGGAGCTGATCGGGTCCTTCGGCAGCCCCAGCAGGGTTAAACGCCCCTCCCCCTCCCCCAGGACAAAGGCACCGAAACCCGGGCTCCCCTCCCCCACCTGCGCTGCCTCTCTGGGGCGGGGCTCCCCTCCCCCTCACCTGCCGAAGCGGACCCTACTGTTAGCGCCGCCATTAAACCCCTCCCGGGCGCCGGGCTCCCAGGCTGGGGAGCTGAGGACACCCTTCCTCGGGCCGGACTCGGAGGGAAATAGGGGTCGACAGCGAGATGGGGAGCCCTTGGACCGGGGGCAGGGGCGCGCTTGGAAGGGAGAGGTGCCGGGTGCCTAGGCCGGCGTGGTCCCGGCCCTAACTCCGCCAGAGGCCTGGAGGGCTGACACCAGGTTGGGAGGAGTGCGGGCTGGCGGGCCCCGTCCGATCTCCCTCGAGGTCAGGAGCTCGGTCCGGGTAAGGGCGGGGCGCAAACGAGAAGCAAGTGGAGAATCTGCCCTCTGGCCACACTGCTGGGGCTGGGGCTAAGTTTCTGTCCAAGCTGCGCTTGGCTACTTTGGGCACTGGAGAGCCACAACAGGACCCTGAACAGAACTGATCCCGGTGGCGACCTCTAACACGAAGTGGAGTGTGAGGGGAGACAGGTGAGGAGGCCCCGGCTGCCGCAGAGGAACTGGTTCACTGGACAGACTCCAAGGGTTTTAGTTCCTTTTAGGGAAGTTGTGTCCTGAGAGGATGGCATTTGGGGCAAGAATACACAAGAAAATATCCCCAAGCTTGGGGACAGCAGAGCAGGACCCAGGGAGGCAGCCGGTGGTCTTGGGGAAGGAAGTGCTTTTAGGTGGGAGGGGTTTTTTCTTCATCTCTCCTGCCCCTCCCGAGTTTGACCAGGGCTGGGCTGGGCTGGGCCAGGCAGAGGAAGGCAAGGCCAGGACTGATAGGCCACCGGGGACACAAGATCTTAAGATCAAACTGGTAGTACAACTATGACATACAACTATCTACTGGGGCTTTGGGGAAAAAAAGGAGGAGGATTGGCAATAGATGTTAGCTCAGAGCCGGTCTTCCTCAGCAAAAAGAGGAGGATTAGCATGGATGTTAGCTCTGGGCTGATCTTCCTCACGCACACACAAAAAAAGATCAAACTGGTAATCACCTATCTGGGAGATGGAACCAGGTTGGGGTGAGGGTTTGGACACTCCTGTTGGGTGGTGGGGGGAGACTTGGATCTCTAATCTTGGTGTGGAAACTGACAAGTTTTAAGCCTGAAACTCCTAGCCAGAGCCACCCCATCATCTGTGTGCTCTGTGAAAACCACCTGGAAATTGTACTGTTGTCTCATCCTCTTTTTGGCACTTTGCTGTTTGATAAAATGTACCCACAGTGGCTGAGGCCATGGACTAGTGCGGGCATAGGCTTTATATTTCATTTGCACTCAAAACAGCCAGGATTGGGTGCTCACATATTCACTCTTGTAAGCCTGTCATATAACTAGAGGAAAAAATAAATACTAAAGCATTAAATGCTCATTTTGCCCATGAGGAAATGAGGCTCAGGGAGTGTGCCTTGCCCATGTTACAGGACATGGAACCCAACTCCCAGAGTTCCTATTTTTGGTGTCCTGTGTGGTGGCAACGGCACATGGTCTGGGGCTTAGCACTCTTTGGGAACGAGGCGTCTGGGCCGGCCCATCTTGACATTACTCTGCTTCTGTCCCCCAGTGCAGCTCCTCTCAGCTTCAGCCTCCCCCTCGGCATGGCCTCCGCTGGTCTGCAAATACTGGGCATCATCCTGACACTGCTTGGCTGGGTGAATGCCCTGGTGTCCTGCGCCCTGCCCCTGTGGAAGGTGACCGCCTTCATCGGCAACAGCATCGTGGTGGCCCAGGTGGTGTGGGAGGGGCTCTGGATGTCCTGCGTGGTACAGAGCACGGGCCAGATGCAGTGCAAGGTGTACGACTCGCTGCTGGCGCTGCCCCAGGACCTGCAGGCGGCCCGTGCCCTCTGCATCATCGCCCTCCTCGTGGCTGTGCTCGGCCTGCTGGTCTACCTGGCCGGGGCCAAGTGCACCACCTGCGTGGAGGACAAGGACTCCAAGGCACGTCTGGTGCTTGCCTCTGGGATCATCTTTGCCATCTCAGCAGTCCTGACCCTGATCCCCATCTGCTGGACAGCCCACACCATTATCCGGGACTTCTACAACCCCCTGGTGGCCGAGGCTCAAAAGCGGGAGCTAGGAGCCTCCCTCTACCTGGGCTGGGCAGGCTCTGGCCTTCTGCTGCTGGGTGGGGGGCTGCTGTGCTGCACCTGCCCCTCTGGGGGGTCCCGGGGCCCCAGCCATTACATGGCCCGATACTCAGCGTCCATCCCACATGCCACCTCTGGGGGTCCCTCCGAGTACCCTACTAAGAATTATGTCTAATTCGGGAGGGCAGTGGGGGCTCCTTTGACAGTGGAAGCTAACCCGGAGCTGGAGTCATCAAGAGGGTGATCCATGACAGCTTTGAGGTTATTTTTATCTTGTTTTTGCTTTTAATTTTTTTTGGGCGTGGTATTTTTTAAGTCTATTTGATAACCCAGCCAAGAAGAAACTCAGACTCCCCCTGGCCTCTGCTGCTGGTGTTTCTCACCTTTGGATGATGGAGCCAAAGAGATGGTGCTTCAGAGTTTCTGGATCATTCTCCACCCTGGACATCCCCATCTGGGAGGCCAACCTGGAGCTGCGGGCTCAGTGGGAAGGCTGCGTGCTGTCCAGGTGCTGTCAGCCTGTCCCCAAGAGTTCCTGCAGCTGCTGGGGCAGGGCCTCTCAGGCTTGCGGGGACAAGCCCTGTCTTGCTGGTCAGGCCTCTAGAACCCCGAGGCTCTTGAGCCTCAGGTAGCCTGTAGAAGAGCAGGTGTAAAGTTACCAAGGAACCGCCCACCTCCATGTCTTCTGACCTCGGGCTCCTCCACCCTGAGCTCCTCCATCCTGAGCCGTGTCCCAGCTGTGCAGTGGACCTCTGACCCTCTCACCTCTAGCCCCTGCACACTCTGCCATGCCCTGCCCACACTCACCACTTTTTACTAAATAAAGCACGTTTTGTTGTGTTCCTTGCCTTTGGCGTTGCTGAGGGGCTGCTGAGGACTGGCCTGGCAGGAGGAGGTGGGCACAAGTGGCTCATCTTTGTTGCCCCCGTGCCTTGCAGGGCCTCAGTGAGGTTACCCACTTGGCAGGACCCGGAGCAGGCCTTGGCCTGACAGCCCCAGGGGAGTCCACCTGCCCAACCACAGATCAAAGGAGCCAAGTTACAAATGCTCTATTTATTCCTGACTCGCAGGTGGGGGTGGGGGGCCAGGCCTCCGGCCTGAAGCAGACTAGTGCTCCCAGAGGGTTGGGCCTCTGGATGCAGGTGGCGGCCAGGCTGGAGGAGACCAACCCCAGGGCAAGAAGAGCATGATCTCCTTGCTTTGGAGCCAAGGAGCTACTGCCCTTTGCGTGAGGTCCAGGTTCCTGGGGCTGTGGAGGGCTGAGAGAGGAAGAGGAGGAGGGCCAGCCTAAGTCCTGGACAGCAGAAGGAAGCAATTTGGGGGGCCGGCCCCGTGGCGTAGCAGTTAAGCACATGCGCTCCACTGCTGGCGGCCCGGGTTCGGATCCCAGGCACGCACTGACGCACCGCTTGTCAGGCCATGCTGTGGCAGCGTCCCATATAAAGTGGAGGAAGATGGGCACGGATGTTAGCTCAGGGCCAGTCTTTCTCAGCAAAAAAAAGGAGGATTGGCATGGATGTTAGCTCAGGGCTGATGTTCCTCACAAAAACAAAAAGAAGGAAGCAATTTGTTGGGGCAGGCAGAGGCAGGTCAGAGTACCCCATCAGCTCAGGCCCTGGCTGAGGAGCGGTGAGGGCAGGCCACGAGGTGGGTCTCGGCTCAGCCAGGCCAGATAAGACCAGACCTGCAGCCAGGCCTGACTGGAGCTTCTGGAACGTGGGTTTCACCTGGGGAGGGGTCGACAGAAGGCAGGGGTTAAGCAGGGCATCAGCACAAGGCCTCCGGGGTCACCCTCCACCTCACACGTAGTCCCTCTTGTCCAGCCCAGACGCGCCCGAGCGGGAGGGGATGGAGTAGCCCAGCCTCGGTCCGCGGGGCCGGTCGATCTGAGGTGGGGGGCATGTGCAGCAGAGGAGGCCCCCGCCCAGCATGAGTAGGGCAGCCGCCGCCCAGCCCACGTAGAGGGAGGCCCCCAGCTCCCGCTTGAGGGCCTCGGCCACCAGGGGGTTGTAGAAGTCCTGGATGATGGCGTGGGCCGTCCAGCAGACGGGGATGAGCACCAGGATGCCGGAGAGAAGGAGCATGACCCCCGCGGTGAGCACAATGCGGGCCTTGGCACTTTCGTCCTCCACGCAGGTGGTGCACTGGGCGCCCGTGATGGCCACCAGCAGGCCCAGCAGGGCCAGCAGGAGGGCGATGACGCAGAGGGCGCGGGCCGCCTGCAGGTCCTGGGGCAGCGCCAGCAGCGAGTCGTACACCTTGCACTGCATCTGGCCCGTGCTCTGCACCACGCAGGACATCCAGAGCCCCTCCCACACCACCTGGGCCACCACGATGCTGTTGCCAATGAAGGCAGTGACCTTCCACAGGGGCAGGGCGCAGGACACCAGAGTTCCCAGCCAGCCCAGCACAGCCAGGGTCATGCCCAGTAGTTCAAGGCCAGGTGAAGCCATCTGTCCCCTCAGTGAGGTCTTCTCAACCCTAGGCGGCCTGGTAGACTGGAGGGGTGGGTTAGACGATGCTGGGTGGGGTCTTGGTGCCCAGGAGAGGGGAAGTTGGCGTTCTCAGGCCAGGACAGTCCTCACATCTGTGGGCCTCCTGTGAGGCACCTCCTTGCTCCGTGCCCCTCACAGGTGTGTCTCGGACCCTCGACAAACAAAGCAGCCTCACGGTCCTGCTTAGTTGAGTAGCTAGCGTCCCCTCAGGGGCCCGTTGCCTGTCAGATGCCTGGTGGCTGCTGCTCCTGACACCCTGCAGTCACGTCTGGCCACCGCCCGTCTGACCCAGCTTGCACAGACCCTCCCGACCCACCTTCAGGCTGGCGCAGGTTCACACTGTGCGATGCACACTCTTCGGGTGCCACTTGGAGACTCTGCCAGCTCCCTGCCGCAGGCGGGGTTTTAAGGCCAAGGCGGGGGAGGAGCTGGAGGCCAGGACTGGGGAAGCCAGAGCTACAGGGATGAGGCAGGGCTGGGGGTGGGAGGGGGCCCTCCAGGTCAACCCGGGGGGGGGGTGTACTGTGATCAGGAAGGAATGGGGGACAAAAGAACATCCGTGCATGTGGGAACGCAGAGACAAAGGAATGGGGAGACTGAGGAGGAGCTGTGGAGTAAGGGATGCGGGGCCCTCGGCTGCCTTCCTGAGCCTCCCCTCCCCTGCCGGCTTTGTTCTCTCACCCCGTTTCGTTTCATGATGCAAATGCACCCCAGCTCCCCGAGTTTCACACTCCCCCGCCCCTGTACCCCTGCCCGCCGGGGACCCTCCGGAATCCGATCTGTCTCCTATCTCAGCCCAGTGGCACTGGCAGCTCCCAAGGGTGAGGCCCCGCCCGCACTGTTCCCCAGGTGACAGGTGCCTGGCGCCCAGCTCAGGTGGCATCGCCCAGGTAACGGCCTAGAAATCCATCCCCCACTTCTACCTCAGCTCAGGTGTGCCCTCCTCACCCCTGCTGCTGAAACTGGGGGCCGAGCTGAGCTGCTGAAGGTCTCCAGGGGCCAAGGGAGAAGGGGCCTGTTGTGGGGTGGGGGAGGGGCAGGAGCCTGAGCTGGGTGAAACCCCAGGACCTACTCTCTTCCATGGGGAGTGACTGATGTCTCTGGATGAGACGCCACGGAGGAGGGGAGGGCGGCAAAGCCCAGGTGATTCAGGTCTCCCTGGGCCCTGCCTCACAGTCCCCAGAAAGACCCCCTCCTGTAGACCCCCTCGAAGCCCGTGACGCCCCTGGTGGGGGCAGCCTGGGAGTCACACAGACCATGGCTCAAATCCTGCCCCCACCAAGGACAGATCATGGAACGTCAAAGTCTTTAACTTCCTTGGGTCAAAAACCCCTTTGACAAACCTCATGGGACCCACAAACACAAGCCCCTCATTTTAGGGGGGTGGGTCACAAACTCCCTCAAGCCCCTCCCTTGGTGCCAAGATCTGAGGGAAAGGGGAAGGCTGATGAAAATTCCTTCCTTTCATACACCTTCCGGGATGGGAGGAGGCTCAAAGGCAGAGTTGGGGGAGAGAGCCTCTGGCCTCCACGCCTCCTCCTGAGGAAGGCCCCTGGCCTGGCTGCCCTGGGAGGAGGCACCCCTTGGCTGGCCCCCGGGAGGGCTGGGGGCCAAGCTGGAGCCAACCAAGCCAGTGGGGGCAGGACTGTGAGGGGCCCCCTTGCATGTCTGGTTGCTGCACCTCTACACCCGGTGGAGGGGCAGGGCGCTGGGGGCCTCCTCACCTGTTCAATGGGGCTTTATTTATAAAGGATTCTAACTTCAGGTGGGTGCATTGCTTCTGGGAATGGGTTTGGCATTTTGGGGAAGAGAGGTTTATACTTTCATCAGATTTGCAAAGGGACACGTGACTTAAAAAAGCTTGAGAACCCCTCCCCCTAAAATGGAGAGCCTGAGGCCAGCGCCCAGCAGCAGGTCTGAAAGGTCGACTCCGATGGTTAGGGCTTCCCCCATGCCCGTGCCTCCCCACACTGCCACGGGGCAGGGCTCCTCCAGCCTCATGGACATGATGACAGAGAGCTGGAAAATGGCCAGAGCCCCCTGCTGACTGGGACGGCCGTGGAGAATCTTGGGGCCGTTTATGCAACTCATCCAGCCCCCGGGGCCTGAGATTTCACAGGAGTAGCGGTGGCTGAGAAGAAGGGCAAATAGAGGCCAGCCTCCAGTGGGCTCCCTCTGCGGCCTTCCTTCCAGGGCCAAGAGGAATCCAGCTGCACTGGTTCGGGCAGGTATGAGACGGCAGTGGCAAGCCCTGGGTCTCTTGAGGGGCCCACCGACCCGCACACAAGGCCTCCCATCCTGGGCAGCCCCAGCCCAGGGCCTGTTCTCTCCCCCAGGCCCAGAGAAACAGTCCGCCTCCTGCCTTGGGTTTAACGTGACCAACTTGTCCTTATTTGCTCGGGACGTTCCCGGTTTGAGTGTTAAGATGCGTCCTGGGGAATCCCAGACAGTTGACCAGCCTGCAGTCGGGCCTTGCTTCAAGGGCCCACCAGTTCCCCAGGCAGCTTTAAACCCCCAGCATTGTGATGGGGCCTGGTGGGGGGTTGCACATACCAGGGAAGCCTCTGGCCTAGAGACAAGCAAAGAGGGAGACCCTGTGTTGCCAGGGGCTGGCCCGCCACATGGGAGGTGGATGTTCAGAGAATGAAGACTGCCTCCCTCTTGCCCCCCACTCCCAGAGACCAATCTCTGCTGGACCTTCCTCCAGGGTAGCTGGGCGGCTTCAGCTTCCTCCCACCTAAATCTCCCACTCTTTCCCCTCTAGGATAAGACAAGGCACCTCCCCACAAGGTCTAGAGGGAGAGAAAAGTGGGGAAATAGAGAATTAGGAGAGGTGGGAAGGGGCGGGTCAGGGGAGGATTCTCAGGGCACCTAGGCAGCAGTGCACTTCCTGCTCTCAGCCCTCACCCTCCTTAGGCAGAGGCTGGGAGGCCCCAGGCCCTCTCTTGGGTCCCCTGGTCCACTTGGATTCAGTTGAATCTGGGAAGCGAAGGGTGAACATTGGGGCCTAAGCAGGGCCTGTGACTGGGGCTGGAATGCCATGGGCGTGGAGAGATGGGGACTCCCTCTGCGCGGTTACCATCTCAATGGCACTTTCACAAGTCCCTTGAATCCCCACCCCCTTCGGCTCCACCTGGGAAAGAGGTGGGGAGGAGAACTTCCGCACAGTACTAGCCTGGAGGGAAACCGAGGCACAGGGTGGCAGCCCTCGCCCCTCTCCCCCCTTCAAGGAGTGACAGAACTGGACTTGGTCTTTGTTCTCTCTGGGCGGGCAGGGGGTGGGGAGGCTCAGGTAGGCAGAAGAAACTGGAACTCAGCTTAGATGAGGGGAGGATGGAAGTGGTTAACTCCAATCCCATGGTATATCTCGCTCCCTTTAGAGGGGAAGTGTGGCCCAATGACAAAGGAGGGGAATGAGCGGTCATGAGAGCCGCCGCGGTGCCAGAAGGGTATGGGGGTGGACATGGAGGCCACACCACAACCCCAGGGCAGCATCACCTGCTGCTTTGGGGAGGCGCCCGAGGCCCCGATTTCATAGGCAGAGACGCCAGGTCTCCTGGCTCCCGGACCAAAAGGTGCAGATGAAACCTCGAAGTCCCCTAACAATGCCCACTGGTTTACTACCCCATTTTACAGACAAGGAAACAAGCTCACAGAGCTGCGGGAACCTGGCCAGGTCTACACACAGGAAACAGGACAAGCCTGATGCAACCCCAGACCCTGACTTCAAAGCCTGGCTCTTTGCCCAGCACTGCAGGCCGAGCTTCCTGAGAGTAAGCCGGGCCTCCTGGTGCCTCTTCCCCCAAAGGCAGCGGTGGCAGGCCCCCCTCCCACGCACCACCCCACCCACCTCCCACCCCATTCCTCCCCAGACAGCCATTCCCTCCTTCCCCCACTCTCCGAGGTTCCCTGTGCTGGGAAGTCTCCACAGAGAACCACATCTGGATCTGATTAGGCAGAAGCCACCCTCCACCCAGGTTCATTTTCACCGCGTCCGTGTCCCTGACACAGAAAGCACTGTTTGCTCGTCACTCACAGCAGGCAGCTTACTGGACTCTGGGTCAGACCTGGTGTCAACCCCACCGCAGGGCTTGGGCAAGTCACAGCTGCCCTCATCTCAGGTGCCTCCCAGCTGTGAAACAGAGGGAGAAGTCTGCCACACCTCCCTCCAGGGCCGCCGGAGGCATCTGCCCAGGCAGCCAGCGCCTCACGCACCTTGGGGTCAGTACAGGTATTGACGCGAGACAAGAGTATCTTGTGAAGAACATGATGGTGGTTTCACTTGTCAACCTGGGCAGACTCCACTAACTGGGTAGCAATTAACTTTATTTATTTTTTTTTTCCTCCTTTTTTTCCCCCCAAAGCCCCAGTAGATAGTTGTATGTCATAGTTGCACATCCTTCTAGTTGCTGTGCAATTAACTTTATTATCAGTCCTAACTGTCAGCTTTCAACCAGCAGCAGTCAGCCATGGATCTGGAGTTTGGAGGGTGTGGCTGCCCTCTCAAAGCTGTCTTCTTTAAGAAGACACATCCAATCAGGTCCTTCCTGTGTACTCTCTGATTCTTAGCTGAGAGGGGAGGAGGGCGACAGGACCTAAAGATGGTGGAGGAAGCAGCAAGCCAGCAGGAATGGGAACTGGGGCATAATACAGCAAAGAAGAAAGACAGTCATTCTACTTTCTTCCTGTGCCAGTGAGAGCTTTATCAAGGTACTAGTGCCTTCGGCTCCTGCCTGAGGACTCCAAGGGCACCCAAGGTGCAGGGTCAGCCGGGGACAGGGCCTAAAACATGTAAAGGAAGCTGGGCAGCCAGCTTGGGAGGTGGGCCAGCCCCACAGGGGAGAGGACAGTGGCCTGTATGGATTGGATGGTGGCCCCCCACGCTATGTCCAGGTCCTAAGCCCTGGAAACTGAGAGGGGCCTTATTGGTTTTTTGGGTTTTGTTTGTTTGTTTGTTTTTTGAGGAAAATGGTCCTGAGCTAACATCAGTTGCCAATCTTCCTCTTTTTCTTTTTTCTCCCCAAAGCCCCAGTACATAGTTGTGTATCCTAGTTGTAGGTCCTTCTAGTTCTTCTATGCCGGACGATGCCTCAGCATGGCTTGATGAGCGGTATGTAGGTCTGTGCCCAGGATCCGAACCGGCAAACCGTGGGCCAGGGAAGCGGAGCATGTGAACTTAACCACTACGCCACTGGGCCCGCCCTGGGCCTTGTTTGAAAAAAGGGTCTTTGCAAATGTAATTAAGTTAAAGATCTCAAGATGAGATCATTCTGGGTTTACGGTGATATCCAAAGACAAGCGTCATAAGAGAAAAACAGAGGGAGATTTAAGACACGGACACAGGGGAGGAGACCACGTGAAGACAGAGGCAGAGACTGAAGTGAGGCGGCCACAAGCCAAGGATCATCAGGAGCCACCAG